AAATGTTTTGAGAATGATGAGGGCAATGAATGTACAAATGTGCTTTACACAATTGATGTGTGTATGGATTGTGATAAAAGTTGTATGAGCCCCTAATAAAATGAATTAAAAAAATAAAAATAAAATGCATTTAAATTTAAAAAAAGGAGGCATAGAAATAGGAGGCAGAGGGAGGAAGTGGGATGAATGATGTGACCCCAAGGGGATTACAATACTTGAGTTGAAACAAACACGTGTGCATTGTTGAATGTAATAACTGATGAGCTGCTCTGTAAATAATTCACCGATTCACAATAAAAAGTCCAAACAAAAGATTCTGGTCATGAAAACCCTAGGGAGCATTTCTAATCTGTAACACACGGGGTCACCACTACTTGGAATCAATTCCAGGGCAAGGGTTTTTTGTTGTTGTTGAAATAAAATTGGAGGCAAAAATGAAAATGAAAGTAAAGGGATGAAAGAAATGGAGTAAAGAGGCTCCCACTCAAAAGCCACAAGCTTCCAGGGACTCATAAGAAGATTCCAAAGTCAGCCAAACGACTCAATGCCCTGGGATGGATTCCAAGTCTTGGGAGACTTTACCGGGCTGGGCAGAACTGCTCCTGGACCCATTCTGAGGCTGCAACTCTCTACTGAGTACAAAGCCTCATCCCTCTTCCAAAGGTGGCTGGGGGTTTCAAACTGCTGACCTTTTGGCGAGCAGCCAAACACAGAACCCATAACACCACAAGGCTTCCTCTTTGGTGGCGACTTACAGTGACCCACCTATAAGGTAGGGTAGAACTGCTCCTTTGAGTTTCCAAGACTATACATGTTTATGGGAGTAGAAAACCCCATCATTCTCCGGAGGAGAGACTGGTAGTTTCCAACTGCCCACCTTTTGAGTGGCAGTCCAAGGTGTAACCACTGAGCCACCAGGGCTCTAGAAGCGATTAATCCTGAAAGGACTGAACGCCTCTTCTCAAGAGAATGAGAGAGAAGAAAGGATGGTTGGGTCTACAGGTAGGTTTGGTGATAGTGGTGTGGCGAGTGTTAAGGAAATTCGTAGATACCGGGCCTTGTTTGCCTCATAAAGGTCGCAGGCAACATTTTATTTTTAATTTAATATCTTAATAGAAATTTCTAAACTATTTTATCAGTCTTAGTTATTCACACATCAACCAAAAGGTAGACTTACGAAATTAGAAAAGTGTGATTGTTGGAAGGAGGAGAAATTCCGCCTGGGAATGTGCCTGGCTGTTTGCAAGTCCCGGTAGAGCTAAACAACTTTGATTTGCTGTGAATTCAATTCTCAAGGGTGTGGCTTTCTGCATTGGTGCAGAAGTGGGCAGCATTGATTAAACTGTTGCAGATAAACAATGTTTGCATATTGGCGAAGGATTACAAAGGCTACTGAAACGAAGGTGCTCCTGAGCTTGGTAAAACCCTTTGGGATGCTGACAACACGTTTGTCTTTTTTTTTCTTTTAAATTTTATTGGGGGCTGTACAATTCTTATCACAATCCATCCATCCATCCATTGTGTCAAGCACATATGTACATTTGTTGCCCTCATCATTTTCAAAACATTTGCCTTCCACTTTAGACCCTAATATCAGTTGCTCCATTTCCCCCTCCTTCCCCCCTAGGCACGTTTGTCTTTGATGGGCGAATGCAAGGTTGCAGCTCCGAGGATGGCACACTCCCTGCCGAGCAATCGGTGTTCCGAGGCTGCTCAGGAAGCAGCCGGGGGGAGTGTGACTGAGGGTGCAAGAAAGGGATTCTCTCTGGACAAACTGATTTTACGCACATCGTATACTGAGCAGCCCTGTAAGGATCACAAAGGTGACACTGGATACCGCAAGGATCGGGGTTAGCCACTCTGCGAGACAGAGGAGGGTCGCTACAGAAGGTCGCCGGGATGACAGTGGTTTTGGTGAAGGTCACAGGAGAGACCAACGAACGTTCTATTGCCCTGTGCGGCTGCAATGAATTTAAATAGTAAAACTACAGCAGCGTGGACGCGCGGGTCAAGCGGCGCCGCGTAGCTATGACGTCATTCGCTGGGCGGGGAGCGGCTACTATTCGGGTAGAGTTCATTAAAGTAATTTAAAGCTATATTCGCCGTGTCACGGCAAAGAATAGCAAAGTGATCCTTCCAGCTCACGTAGCTTGGCTGGAAACCGGTCGACTACAGTTCAATCGCCCTAACTACCCACAGTACCATTGGTTACCATGGTAGCGCAGGCTCAGCCAACCCCAACGACTCCAAGTGACGTCATCGATCGAGCGCGTCCTCGGGCTGGTGGCTCCGCCCCGGCTTACGGGCGGGGCACAACGCTTGAGGCAGTCACGTACAGTGCCTAACGCCTCTTTAGAAATTTTGGTCCACGTG